TTAGAATCATACATTGCGAATAGATATTTCAAAGTAAAAAAAGCAGAAGTGTACCTATATTATGTACCTATTGCATACGTATAACATTCCGGAGCTGGAACAAAACAATATTACCACCTTCGTGGATGATACAGACATACTAGCCATGGGAGACACTGGTGAACAAGCAGCTGATAAGTTGCAACTATCAGGAAATACAATACATACCTAGACCAAAAAATGACGAATAAAATTAAATAAGACCAAATCTGCACACATTAACTTTACAAATAAAAAAATTGAAAGTTTCTCAGTTAGAATAAATTATACCTTATTCAACATCTGCAAAATACTTGGGCATCACCCTAGACGCGAGGCAGCCCTGGAAAAACCATGTCAAAAAGAAAAGAGGGAAGCTTAACATTAGATATAAGAAATTGTATTTGCTGATTGGAAAAAAATCAATATTATCAATTCATAATCAATTATCCATTTACAAGCAAGTACTGAAGCCAGTATGGGTATATGGGTGCCAACTGTGGGTCTGTACCAAAGCTAGTAATCTACATATTATCCAGAGATTTTAGAACAAAGTACTGAGGAACATTGTTAATGCTCCTTAGTATATCCCTAACAGCAACCTCCACCAGGACATAGTTATGGAAACTGTGATTGAAGTAATCAAGAGAATAGCAGCAAGTCACGAGCAGAGACTGCATACTCATGTGAATGTCGGGGCAATCCAGCTTCTAGACAACACTAAACGAAAAGGAAGACTCATAAGGACAAAACCATTTGAGTTAGTGTAAATGTGAAACAGTTTAGTCTAAAAAGCAGAGTATAGATCTTTGATGTTATTACATGCTAGTTGTAGTGCATTAGTTGATAGATAAAATAAGAGTAAGCCATAGGGTACGCCCTTAGATGTAAGTAGTTGCTGTTTTGTTGCTGTAAGTTTTGTCAGAAAATAACTGATAATTGGTCATTTGTGACCAGATAGCAGTATAAAAACACCGTACAGGTGTTACACAAAAAAACTTTAATTTGCGTTAACGATTTCTATAGAGAAAAGTAGCTCTTGATTCATGAAACCAATATTTTATGCAGAATTGAAAAAATGCTTTGGCAAATCGTATAAACACATGAAGAATGAGTAAGAATTTTCGAAACCAAAACTATATTATAACTTTTAAAATAAAACTAATGATTATCATAAATGTGCAGAAGATACCAACAAAGTATAAGGTTATTCCACGAATATACGACTGTTTTGGATTATTACGACAACGAATATTTTACTGTGCAAGTAGAAGTATGAAAGTAAATTGGTCTAAACAGTATTCCAATAAAATGGATTTACTGTTAGTTTAACACTTACACTAAAATTATTTCAGTTAATATATGTTCAGATAGACGCAAAATTATTGTGAAATTTAATCCGAAAATAACAAAAATTTTTACGCAAACGGTCCTACAAATAAATACAATGAGTTCTATGAAGCCAAAATGTGTTCATAAGACATTTGGGTTGGGTTTCTGTGAAATGTAAACACCAAAGAGGCGTGCCGTGTTCCTTTAATATCACACTTTTTATTACTATATTAGGTACTACAACTGTAATAAAAAGAAATATACTTTTAATATAAATGAAAAGAATTTGGCAGAACGATGGTTTGGAAACCAGAAAAAGGATCTATAATTTCACTTTGTTAGTTTTAACTATTTGTTTGATTTGAGTGAATGTACTCTTAAAAGTTCCGAAAGTAAAGGGTATAACATACCGGCTATTGATAGTTGAAGTACCGAGTCGTTACAGATATTAAAAAGTAACGAACATTTATATATAGTGTCATATATCGCCGACTGATTTTAGTTTTAAAAACTGTCCGTATAGAGGTGTCCGATGAAAAAAGGTGCCGTTAAGAGAGAGTTTAGTGTAGTGTATTTGTTTATTGAAGCCAAAAACGCCGAGACGTGTTTTAGATGTAGACAACTTTGTATTTAATGTACTTTCCTATGGTGAAGTTCTGTGAATCTGATGGTTGATGATAGTTTTAGGAGATTAGGAGAATAAGAGAATAAGTAAGTTTTTTTGTTTTCTTAATACTAATTGAATATTCGACTAAATAAATTACACTATTTCACCACCTAAGTATTGTTACATTTCGTTTAAATCACTTAATTCAAAAAACAACTTGTTTACAATACTAAAATCAATGATCGTAATTATATACTTCAAAATCTAAATTATAACTATTCTATAAACTATCAACTCTATATTTATATCATGACTTCATATTTAAATTTCAAGTCATAACCGTATTTTAAAAATAGGGAGAATTTACTATTGTACAATTCAGCACATTGGACCATTCAAATAGAGACCTTAAACCGAATTTAAAACAGTCGTATATTCGTGGAATGGAGTATATATATTTTTATATTAAACAAATAAAATTCCAATCATGAATGTGTTGCTTGTGTGAGTCCATTTCAAATAGGTAAAGAAATAATAAATAAGACTTACTCACAATCAATTTAATTTACCTATCAGACTACCGGTTTCGCTTTCTACAATATGCAAAGCATATTCAGGTCTCGATACAAAGGTAAATAAATGCTGAAATGATTAAAATCCATAGTAGGGTGTTGTCTAATAAAGATAAACAAATTAGATGTTGTAAATTACAATAATTATGCCAATATTACATGTCTGTGGTTTTATTTAAAAATGAGTAAATTGAATAAAAAGGTATAAAAAGTTTAAAGGTAAGACCCACAAATTGTTATAAAATAGTCTATTAGATTGTAATAAATTAATAAATGAGCAAATAAATAAACATTACTTACATGCTGGTACTCTATTAATTGATGGATGGTAGAACATGGTTGAAACTACTACATATTGTTGAATGGAGAACTCAATTCTGCTATTGTAGTTGTTTGACAGTAAACGGGAAGTTCTTGAGGTGATAGATTTGATCCAATGAAGCAGAGATATGTGTGTGATTGTTTGTTAAATGAAAGTGATGTTATATACCATTGTATTATTTAAAAGTTATTTATACTTATTCGAAAAATATATTTATGAAATGTGTGTTATTTATTGAGTAATTGTTTTATGAAGGTGACAGTTTTATGACAATGAATAAGTTTAGATGTACAAATTGTGTGGCTGTGCAATTATTTTTCAACTTGTAATTATCAAATTTCTTTGATAAAGTTCTATTGGCAAATAGTAGATTATTGCAAAGTCGAGTAAATAAAATATTAGAATTAAAACAATTAAGGGCAATTTAAAACACACTAAAACAGAAAACACATAGAAGGGAAGAAACAAACACTAAATTTAAAAGGGGGAAGAACTTTTATGCACTACATCTCAGTCTTGGGCACAATGAGTTTTTTATGTGTTATCTATTAGATTTTAGTGGTAAATTTGACAGATGTAGGTTAGCGTGTAACAGTTCTTCTTCTGTTCTCAATACTGCAAGTTAGGTTATCTAGTTTTATGAAATATGCTAATATTAATGAATGTCAATAAATTGTTTCAATTAAGATATCAAAAGTAAATTGATGTGTTTAATATTGGCATACTTTAACAATCTTTAATTAATTAAATTTAAATGTAACAATACGAATATTTGAAATACATCCCACATTATAACTAACTCAGTTTAGTCCAAATTACTGAACAAATTAAAGTGATTCTTTGGCAACTAAACATGTACATTTTATAATCAAATGTATAACAAATTTACAAAATTTTTTATTTTTTATTTGAAATTATTGTTAGTGTGAGTTATCTGTCATGGTGTTTATAAATATTTTAGATATTTAATTCAAATTATGATATATTAATATATTAATATCTGATATATTAATATGTAACCAAAGTAACAAGTGGATAATTATTTATGGTAATTAATTTATGGGCTCAAGAAATTGACTGAAATATAAAGCCTTCAATAATTAGTTGGTAGTTCTAATATCTGACAGTTGGAACCGGAAATTGTTATACGAACAGGTAAAAAGATCCTCTATTTAAACCGGTGTAAAGTAAATTTATTCTTATTTCAATTTTTTGTGTCATATGAACAATTTAACCCACAATTATTATTACATTCCATCTGGTCTACATTCTACATTCCAACAATTTGTGGGTCTTAGCTTGTCTGTTTAAACTTTATATACCTTTTATTCAATTTACTCATTGTGAAATAAAACCACAGACATGTAATATTGTCATAATTATTGTAATTTACAACATCGAATTTGTTTATCTTTATTAGACAACACCCCAATATGGGTTTTTATCATTTCAGCATTTATTTAACTTTGTATCGAGACCTGAAGATGCTTTGCATATTGTAGAAAGCGAAACCGGTCGTCTGATAGTTAAATTAAATTGAATGTGAGTAAGTCTTATTTATTATTTCTTTACCTTAATAAAATTCCATTGTTTACAACGTTTAAAATTCTCATCGTTTTTAATTTTTTTTACGTCTCCCAATGTATTAATAAAAGAATTGTATGAAAAAATGAAAATTATTGTTACACTTATATTGTGATGATTTTTTCCCTAGACAAAATTTTTTCCTTTCATCAGACAAAATAAATTTGTAAATTATTATTATAGTTTATTTTAACACTATTTTTTTAATATTGAATAATATCTGAAGCTATCTTCTAGAATGATAATTTAAATATCTGAAGCTATCTCCTTGAGGGTTTATTTATTATGACGAAACGTCAAAATGAACTAAGTTTAAGAAATTGTCGTTAAATCCCATTCAAGATAACAAATATTATTTTATTTATTGTATGTAAGCATTTAAACGTAATAAAATGGCGCGTTAAAGTTATCCAGAGATTTGTAAAAATATATATAAAATATACATTGAAACCAAACACATTTTTTAAACAAACTATTACCAAAAATTACTGAAATATAACATCAAATACTACGTAAAATATAGATAGATAACGATGAAGAAAAAATAAAGATACACTTCACTCACCTGTATATCAAACGATAAAACTAAGCAAACAAACAAATGTTATCGAGTATCACCCATTAATGGTCCCAAAAACTATTTTGCACAAAATAACAACCTAGTCAGCTCCTAACTTCAAGGAAAATTCTATTTCCTTTTTTTTTAACAAAGGCTGAAAACGATTTTTTTGTACGATCGCGACAAGACTGTGCGCACAGCACGGAGAGATAGAATCGAATGATTGTGGTTATCAAGAATCAAAATATTAGAAATGTATGCACCGCGAATCGGTTTTAAACTGTTTATCTAATAATTGATAAGTCGATCAAGTTAGAAAATCGGTGGAGACTAGCGGCTTCGTCAAAAGTCGATTATTATTTTTTATCTCGGGAGCATCGACGACATTATAATCCGATATAAAGGCGAGCGTTAGAACTTGACAGGGAATCAATGTTTCAAAAATATGTATTTCTACTAACACATATATAGCAGCAAAACAAAAATATCCACCAACCTAATTTTTAATCTTTTTAATCATCTTAACTTAGGTAAAACAATTTCTGCCTGTGTCGTTTGAGAAACTTTATACAACACACTGTCGATTTAAAAAACTTTGATAAAAGGCAGTATATATGTATATAATATATTCGCCTTTTATCTTACGACGTTGTCCGACTCCCAAATGCCACTGTGTTCTGTATTGAGTTGGGTCTTCGTCCAGATTTCGAGCGCTAATCGCTTTCCTAACTCCCAGGTTCCAGCTCTATGGTGGTCTTCCTCGTTTTCTCTTCTCTGGGGGTTGCCACATCATCGTTTTTTTAGGCAATCTTTCGTCCCCCATTCGGCTCACGTGCCCATACCATATGAGCTGTTTTCTCTCAGTATCCTCACCTATAGTGCCCTCTATACCCATTTGTTGTTTTATCACTTCATTCCGTATTCTGTCGGCTCGTGATATTCTCATCGATCTTCTGATGGCATCCATTTCCGTGGCTTCGACCTTTTTCTTATATTTCTCGGTTATTCTCCATGTCTCAGCTTCATAAAGTAGGCTACTTTTAACCATTGTCTCATAGATGTTCCATTTTCTTTTCTTTGATATTTCTTTACTCCATAGAACTTCGTTCAAACATGCTATAGCTCTTCGTGCTTGTACAATTCGATGTTCTATTTCTCGTTCGTCTTTTCCACTACGGTCGAAGATAACGCCCAGGTATTTATATTCGTCACATGGATTTATTTTTTGATTGTCATCGATATCGAGTTGTTCTGCTTCAGCTCCAATTTAGAGGTATTTTGTCTTTTCTAAATTGATATTTAATCCCCATTTCTAGTATTCTTCAATTAGTTTTCTAAGCATGTATTCCATGTCGTCTTTGTCATTTGAGATCACCACCTGATCATCTGCAAACTGTAAAGTATATATGTAATCCTCATCGCTCAATTGTATACCCATTCCTTTGACTTTCCTTTTTCATTGTTTCAGAGCTGCAGAGATATAAATCTTAAATATAGTCGGACAGATACAACATCCTTGTCTGAGACCCTTAGTAACTGCAAATTTTTCAGCTAAGAGGTTTCCGAATTTCATTTGGGAGTTTGAACCATAATATAGATCTTTGAGAGCACTAACCAATGTTTGATGTATGTTTGATGTGCCCAGGACTTCCCATAGTTTATTTAGCGGGGCTGTGTCATATGCCTTATTAAGATATACAAAAGTCATATGTTACTCTCTATTTATCACAATTTTCTTTTCCATAATTTGGTTAACACAGAAGATGTTATTTGTACATGAACGACCTGCTCTAAATCCTCCTTGTTCTTCGTCTTCAGACGATTGATAATCTTCCTCTATCAGGTCCCGTAGTTTTAGACCGTATAGTCGACTCATTGAACTTGTGACCGATATCCCTCTATAGTTTTTACAATTTCTCCTGCCACCTTTTTTATATATTGGGGTCATATATGCTGTTTTCCATTCATCTGGTGTTGGATGTCCATTAATATATTCGTTAAATATCACCGTGATCATTCTGTGTAATTTCTCTGAGCCATTCTTTATTAATTCCGTAGTTACTCCCTCTAGTCTACTTGCTTTCCCATTCTTCATCCCTGCTATAGGTTTTTGAACTATGTTGATATCTGTGGTAATATGCACTCCCAGAATTTCGATTCTTGATGAAGTCATATCTTCTTTAAATTCATCTCTGTTCTCATTTAATAGATGTTTCTAATAATATATCCAATCCTCGAGATTTATGGGATTTAGAATCACTTTCTCGTTAGTCGGCTTCTTAACAGAGTTTATAAACTTCCACGCCTCAGTGCATTGTCGTCCTCCAATAAAAGGCAGTACCTTTCTTAAAGAGTGTTTAAAGATTTCTCCTGACTCAATACTTCTTTTAAAGATAAATAACCGCTTTATGTTACTAAACATTTCGCATTCACAATGGACACATTGGCAACTTATGTATCCAAACAAAAGATGGATTGTACTTTTGAATTTATTTTATAACTTATAACACGTATAAAGTTGACCCAGATAGTGTGGCTACTATATTATAAACTGTGTAAGCGATACGAATTGATTTCTATGTACGTTTTCGCTTTGTGACTTGTATTGTTATATAAGATCGAGTAAAAATTTGATAGAATTTTGATAATGTGCCAGTTTTTCGAAGAAAAATTTCCAATTTTCTAAAATTTTGAATGCCGATTGGCCCATACCGGTTTCTTAATATTATTCTGAAGCTATTTTCTTGTGACATCTTAATGAAATGTACTATTTTTGTTGGAAATAAGCCACCATTTTACTATAAAATCTTGAAAATTATAAACGAATTAGAAATGAAACGAATACTTTAAATTAAACAAATAAAAAGGTAATACTGACAGAGCTTTTCAAAACAGATGGAACGCAACGTTTACGGAACACAAAAAGAAATATGGAGAATGATCAGAGGACAAAGAAAAAAGATAAACTAACTAATAAAAAACAAAAATTCATTCAGAAAGAGACATGGGCAGACTACTTTCGATCTTTCTTTGCTAAAGGTTACGATAATGAATCACAAACACCAGGAGAAGGGGTAAAGGAATCATGAAGCAAATTATAAAACAGAAAATCACTAAGAGTGGATAGAATACCGAACGAATTCCTAAACTAAGGAGGACCAGATCTGACCAAAGAACTACTAAAACTAATTCAAAAAATAATGAAACAAAACAGAAGGCATTTGACCGGGCAAAATTAAAGGACCTTATCCACTTATTATACGCAAGTGAGATCATCATCATCATCCAGCCCCATTTTCACATCCATTGTTGGATATAACTCAGTTAGCCCTAGACTCCAACACAGATCAGAGGTAATGTAAGTCAATAAAACCTCACCAACTACAGGGGGTCATATAAGATGCCCCCAGTTTCATTTTTTATATTACACAAGTCAAGAGTCTATTGCATTTACCTGAATAAATAACATGAAGATTATTATTTTTTTAATCCAGATGTCAACCGAATGTTTTTTATGTGGCCACACAATGTTTTTTAACAACCTTTTTTATTAAACTGATGATGGAATGATACAATTCCGAAAAGATCTTCTTTATAATAAAAAATTTTAAGCTTTTAATAAGCGTTTTTTTTATACCTTAATAGCTTCAGAACAACCTTAATACACACGAACACCACGTGCTTAGTTTTAGATTACTTTCTTCATCTTCTATCTCGTTTATATAAACAATTTTGCTTGTTCATTGGCGGGTTGTTGCTTCTATGGAAGATTGTCACTCCGTCTTTTGCACAATTTGGCGATACTTCTACTAGTTGGTGATTTGTCTCTTGATATTTTATTAACACTAGTGAGTGTTCCAGTCTTTTTTCTATTTAGTGTCCATAATTTTTGTACTTTTTCGCTAGTGTTTCTTATAATTCTTCCCAGTATTCTAATTTCTGCTAGTTTCACAGCCAAAAAACAGCATTCTCTGTATTTTGGCTGTGTCGGGTCTTGTTTATGATGTGTACATCAATATTAATCTTATACTGGTATTATAGATTCTTCATTTTATCTTACAGTTGATGTATCTCTTTCTTTGATCTTCCTTTGTACTTCATCTCTTTCTTCTTTTTCAACGTGCCCATAACTGGACACTGCGCTTGTTAAGTAGATTTGCAATAATATTGGCAATACTGAAGAAATCATCATATGGTCTAATAACTGTTATAGCCAGAACAAGAACATGGTGCAGTTTATGGCTTTCTACTGGATATTATGAAAATTTCACAGCATCAGAGTAATAAATCAAAAGTTCTTATTAAAGGGTCATATTCACATGAAAAAATTTTCAGTCGTCTTTACTTTGGTGTACACTTCTTTATAAATATTTTTCACGAAACTAACGTACTTCTCAGTAAACACCGATCATGCTTTAATTGAACGAAAGTGTAAACATCTGGCTTGTTTGGAAATTATGACACACTAGGACTGGCCGCAGTTCATTAGACAGTACTTAAATAAATATTGGGTACATAACATGGAGGTTTCAAATATGTTGAATTTTAAGATTTTCTACGATAACACGTCTGCACCATTTGTTACACGGCAAATTACTTCAAAAAAAGAACCGTTTCTAATTTCGTCAGCTGTTTATTTTCAAGTCAAGCAAGACGAAGCTGGTACATTATATTACAAGCAAAACTTTCAGGAAGATTTTCGAGTCGTTGATCATAAACTAAAGAAAAAAGGTACATTAAAATTGCCTTATTCTTTACCAGCTATATGTAGTACACAAAAACCTATTAACGAAAATAAGTATAAAGATATTTTATTACTGATACCTTTTCTTCTGTCATATGGCCATGATTTTTACAAAAACTTGAGTTTATGGTGATATCACTCATTACGAGTACTACTGCCAGACGCAGATGTTAAGGTCGAGTACTAAGCTTTATTCAAAACAGTTATCAGTTCATCATTTAAATCATTTATCAGTCAAATTAATAGTTCTAAGCTTTATTGCTCGTATTTTCGTCTACAAGTAATGCATTTTAATATATTTAATTGGCGTGTGTGTATTTTTTTTATATATGTAAGCTAATACGGCCCTGAGCCGTCCCTAATAGACTTAAGGGAGGCGAAGCTACGAGAGTACACGCACCTCGACCTCAGTCGTGTATAGATCAGCGCGATAAACACTCCAGTTTTTGTGTAAAACTTAACTACGAAACCAAAAAAAAAGATTCTGCCCCCTGAGTTCCCCCAGTG